GGAGATGTTGTGTCCTCCGAAAACTAAAAAATAAATAAACAAACATTAAAATTCTCTCTCTCTCTCTCAAAAAAAAAAAAAAAAAAAAGGCTGGGGATGTGGCTCTGTGGTTAAGTGCCCCTGGGTTCAAGCCCTGGTACAAAAAAAAGAAAAAGACTGAATTTCTCCCCAGTGCCTTTTCCTCATTTTTATACAAGTTTTTCTTCAAAGGTCCACACTGCCTACCAGAGACACTTGCCTAGCCCTGGTTTSTATGTCCCAGAAGTTCCAGCCCTGCCCCGGAGTCTCCTATCCTGTGTTCATCTCCTGGGCTGTTGCCCCCACCCCCATCCTTTTTTTTTTCCTTGAGAGCTGATTTTCCAGACCAGACCTGGATTTCCTCATCTGTACAGGTGGTTGTATTGGGCCAGATAACTTCTAAAATTTCTGGCATTCTGAAGCTTGTCCTGTGGAAGTGACACRTATGGAAAGTAAATTAGTGTTATATAGGTTGGTCTCTACAGCAAATGTTTCTTAAGGGTCAGTTTGGGGAATTTTAACTAAGGACCCTGTTTTTCTAAGTGTTTARGAAAGTATGATTTTTTTTCATTTTTTKGGGGGGTGGTGCATGCTGCTCAAGCACTCTACCACTGAGCTGCACCCACCCTACATTTATTTCCAATAATTTTAAAACCTAACAAATGCTTTTTTTCCTTAATAAAGCTGTAAAGCATAAAATAAAAAATTAACCTACGATAAAATAGTACCTCTAAACCCTAATAAGCTTAATTTCATTTGTAGTATTCAGGCCCCCATATCCAGATAGGAATTTGGGATTTTATAATTAATTGGTTGTCCCACGTGGGTCATAGTTCATATAGAAGCATAAACAATATAAATTGGCATTTGTAGGTTTTATCAAATGGATCATTGATAGTGAAACCACAGTTTGAGATGAAACTCAGTTCTCTACTTCTGCTGGCAGATAGGTGGGCTCTGTGTAAGCTTCAGGCCTCTGCAGCCAAAAAAGCCTATTTTAGTGTTAGCAGYGAATCAAGGCAGGGAGTGCCCACTGGCATCAGCTACAAAGGTCACAGCTAGAAAAGTAGATTCTTTTCCACTATTATTGATTGGCATATTGCAGCTCTTAGTGACAGGCTGTGCCCTCCAGTGTTGCAGCAAACCCTAGCAACTTGATGCCAATTTCTTTCTGGTTTCTTGTCTCACAATATAAGCCATAGGCAATAATGGAGGGCACAAGTGAAAGAAGTAGGATTTATTTAGTGAGAAGAAAAGAGAGAGAACTCCCACGTGGTGAGAGGGTACCTGGTGGCAGGTTGCCACTTAAATAATAGTCTAGGTGCATATATAGCTTCTGGATATGGGACATTGATCAAAATCCATGTTAGACAAATGTTGGAAAAGTGCGGAGAATATTGGTCAAAATCCATGCCAAATAAGTATTAGAAAATTCTCAAGGCTCTTGGTTAGCCCTTCAGTCTGTAGACTTTACTCGGGTCTATCCCACCTCCCTATTCCCATCACTTTAGGACAAAGGAGTTGGCTSGAATATTTGGAATGTTCCTAAAGGTTAACCTCATGGAGTGGCCTTTACATTGAAAAACACACACACTAATTGAGGCCCATTAACTATCTGTGTAATTCATTAGGACACTTACTCATTAGAGTGCTAGTTACAGCTTTTTTTATAAACCATAGATACTTTGTATCATTTTATACAATGATAGGATCATTGCCTACTTTATATACTAATGATATACTATAAATAATTGAATT